ATGAAGAAGGGCTGAAAGATGTCCAAATCTTGTTACGTTCTGATCATGTCCAGAAAAAGCAGAAAAGCTCTAACAATGAGGTAGAGGAAGCCAGCCTGAAATGGCCCCAACCCCCCAAATGAAAGTTTCCATGTGGAACTGTAGAGGTCTGGGAGGGCCCTCTATAGTCTCCCAGATCAAGGAAATTTCTAGATTCCACCTCCCATGTCTCTTTTTCCTTGCCGAGACAAAAAAAAGTTATTCCTTTACTAAAACGGTATGCAGAAAAAATGGTTTTGAGGGCAGATGGGAAGCAGTAGAACCAGTTGGTATTAGTGGTGGTCTTTTAGTTTTGTGGGGGTAAAGATACCAATATTCTTCAAATCTGTAAGTCCTCCTTTTGTATTGAAGTTGAAGTGGAAATCCCAGGGGCTTCTCACTCTCTCTGGGTAATTTTCATCCATGCTAGTAACCTCAAGAGAGAAAGAGAAAGCCAATGGGAATTTTTTATTCAAGCTATTTCTAAATGGGGTAATAGCTGGATTCTCGGGGGAGATTGGAATGAAATCCTTGAAGCTTTCGAGAAGAGAGGGTGGCAGAATCAGAAGTGCGGGGGAGCTTAGAGGCTTTCAGGATTTTACTTCTAAACTTGATATGCTGGAGATTAAAATGACAGTGCACAACTTCGCCTGGGGTAATAACCGAGATGGAGAGGGCTATATTGAAGAAAAACTTGACAGGATATTTGGATCCTTTGAATGGTGTGCTGAAAACAATCAAGTTGTGGTCTGCAATATAATTAAGAGTGCTTCAGATCATAATCTGCTTCTTCTCAACTCTGATCCTACCAAGCCTACTATTAGTAAGAAGAGATTCACTTTCGACAAAAGATGGCTCAAAATGGAAGGAGTTAAAGAAGTAGTGCAAAAAGCTTGGGAAACAGCTCAATCTGGAACACTTATGTATCAGATAAAAGAAAAAATCAAAGAAACAAGAATAGGTTTGCTTAAATGGAGCAGCTCTTTCAAGGCAGAGAGGGAAAAAGAAGACAAGCTCTTCCTGCTAAGCTTGAGGAGCTGAGGAATCAAGGTGGTGATAGGAACTGCAAGAGTGGTTCACACTCAAAGGTGATCTGGATGCTGAATATAGAAAAGAAGAAGAATTTTGGAGTCAAAAACCAGATGCCAGTGGCTAAAGGAGGGTGACTCCAACTCTAAATTTTTTCATGCCTTAGTCATGCACAGAAGGAGGACTAACTCCATTACAAGACTTGTGGACTCTAATGGAAATGTGGTGGAAGGTTAGCAAGATGTTAGCAACATGCTGCAATCTTTCTATGAGACCCTCTTCTCATCTGAGGGCTCTTGGGCAGAGGCTGAGATGATACAACTTATCCCTCAGAAGATAATAGATGAAATGAATCAAGACCTCATTTCCCCTGTCACAGAAGAAGATATCAAAGAAGCTGTTTTTAGCATGGATCCTCACAAATCTCCTGGCACTGATGGTATGTCCCCCTTTTTTTCAGCAATTTTGGTCCATTATTAAAGATGATATTTGTGTAGCTATTAATAGTTTTTTTGCTCTGGTCTTATTCTTAAAAATTGGAATCATACAATCATATCCCTTATTCCTAAATGCCAAAATCCTCAATCTGTTAACAACTACAGGCCAATAAGTCTTTGTTCAGTTTGCTACAAGATAATCTCAAAAATTCTTTCTTCTAGACTTAAAGTCTGTCTCAGTGTCTGTATCAGTGAAAACCGATCAGCTTTTTTGAAAGATAGGCAGTTGCTTGATAATGTCATCATAGCCCACGAGGATATTCACTTTCTTAATAGGCATAGGTCAGGAAAAAAAGGATACATGGTGGTTAAGCTTGATATGGAGAAGGCTCTTGACAGGGTGAAATGGAACAGTATCCATAAAATATTACTTAAATTTGGATTCCATCCTACCTTCTCCAACTAGATTTGTCTTGTGTTTCTACTCCTTCTTTTTCCTTCAACTTAAATGGTGAGATAAAGGGATTTGTGAAAGCCTCTCGAGGTATCAGGCAGGGGGACCCTCTGTCCCCCTATCTCTTCATCTTGATATCTGAGTTGTTTTCCAGAATTGTGGCAGCTCATGTGAGAAATGGTGAATTCAGTGGCTTAAGGATTTCAAAAACTGGGCCATCTTTTACTCACCTTCTGTTTGCAGACGATGCTCTTATCTTCGGTAGAGCTGGCAGACACCATGCCTCCTCTGTTCTGGCTATGATGAACAAGTATCATTTATTTACTGGCCAAAGAGTTAACATGCTTAAATCATCAATCTTCTTCAGCAAAAATGTTCCTATGGGGTTGCAAACTGATATTTGCCAAATACTAGAGGGGATATCTATTCAAAGGTCCTCTAGATACCTTGGTCTCCCTCTAGGCATTGGTAAATCAAAGAAGGAATGTTTTTCTTTTGCTATGGATGCTATTAAAATAGAATCTCCAGCTGGAAGAATAGGTTTTTATCTGGGGCTGGAAATGAGGTGCTTGTTAAGTCAGTTATTAATGCTCTGCCAATATTTATCATGTCTTGTTTTGTTCTTCCAAAAAGAGTGTGCCAGGATATTTCAAGGCTCAGTGCTGATTTTTGGTGGAGCAAAGGTGATTTGCAGTTAAAGGGAATGCATTGGAAGGCTTGGAGTTGTATTACTACCCCAAAGCAAGATGGAGGACTTGGTTTTCAAGATATTAATCTCTTCAATGAAGCACTCATCCTCAAACAGCTTTGGAGAATTGTAACTCAACCAAACCTCTTGGTAAGCAGAATACTCAAAGCTAAATATTTCCCTCAATGCTCTCTGCTACAGGCTAAGAAAAAAGAGCAATGCTTCTTGGCTGTGGAGCAATTGGCTCAAAGTTAGAGACAAACACCAAGCAGGCTTCAGAATCCAAATTGGCAATGGCTGGTCCACAAAAAATATGGCAGGATCTTTGGCTACTAGATGCAGAATCTGGTGTTCCTTTCAAACCACCAAATGTTGGCACTGATTTAATCTGGGTGGGGGAATTGATGATAATGGGAGATGCTGGAAAGAAGATAAGTTGGGCAGGACTTTCACTGCTCATGACATTGAAAGAATCAAGAAAATTAAGCCTCTTAGCAGTACAAGCAGAGACAAGTGGATTTGGTCCTATGATTTAAAAGGGTTCTTTTCAGTGGCAAAGGCTTATTCTCATTTAATGCAATCCAAGCTATGGAAGATAGATGCAGCAGAATGTAGCTCAAATTCCTCTACCAGCTAAGAAGTTAGGAAAAGGAGTTGGAAGCTGAATGTCAAGGGGAAGCTCACACATTTCTTATGGAAATGTTACACTGGCACCCTACCAGTCAGCCAAAATCTATGCAAAAGAGGTATGCTTATTGATCCAATTTGTTGTTTATGTGGAGAATCTGAGGAATCCTTGGAACATCTATTATTTTCCTGCCCTAGAGCTCGAACTGTATGGAAACTGGCACCTCTCGATTGGGAGGGACTGAACAGCAGCCAAGACAACTTCAAAGACTGGTGGTGGAGAGCATGTTCTGTGAACAAAAAGCAGATTTCGGAGGAAAGACTCCAGTTGTCCACCTACATACTGTGGTGGCTCTGGAAGTCTCGAAACTTGTGGAAATTTCAACAAAGTATGATGCCAGAAAGAGAAGTGGTAAAATCAGCATGCATGAATGGTTGGAATTCAAAGTGGCAAGATGCTCTTGATTTTATTCATAAGGAAGCAATAGGACTAGGTCCTTTTAGGTTCAGTGGTTCTATGCTTTCTTATATTTATTTAGTCATTTGTCTGCTCGGTTTATGCTTTCTGAAAGGCTCTTGTGATACACTTGCTTTCAGAATATTAGATTAGTAACCTCTAGGCCATTTTATAATGGTTCTCGTTGGTTGTTTGTATTGGGACTATTTAGTCTCCCGGGATGTAAAACTTTGATTTTTGTTGAATGTTATTCCTATCGTTTCGAAAAAAAAAAAAAAAATAATTAACTTGTCCATTATATTATATTTTTAACTTTTTTTTTTGTTAATTTATTGATCGATATTTTGTCAGATAGTGTTTTGCCAGATATTTCTAATACAACTCCGTACAGTTGATATTAAACTAAATCCAATATTTTATTTATTTATTTATTTATTTATTTATTTATTTTATTTTATTTTTTTTTTGTCTATTTGTACGAGATCAATGATCTGTAATCAGTGTTGCTGATATTACCCACTCATACGATGCAATATTGAGACACACACTGTAAGACTAAAAAATCATTTTAATTTGGTTACGTTCATCTTCTTTTTAATTGAACCATTTTCATTCTATAGTAATCAATTTCACTTATATTTTATATTTATTTGCACTTATATTTTTAGTTATCTTTGCACAAATGGATTATAAGTTAGTTAGTTTACTCATTACACAGATAATATAAATAGATAGATATATAAAGGTGTAAATATAAAATTCAAAATAAAGCCCATTCTATATGTAAGAACATTACTAATTACCAAGCACTAAACCTCGTAGGTTTTTCGTGATGAACTTAGAAAAGCTCTCTTAGCCTCAATTCAAACTTTTATGTATAACAACAGTACAGAAAAAGTGAGGAAAACACAGTATGTTAACTTAATGTGTATATATCTTCTGCTTCATCCCCTCACCACCAATTAATCTTTATACCAATGGCATCAACAAGACAATATATATTCATCCTACCCGTCCACCCACACTCGCTTTTTAACCGTTGGATCAACACATACTCAGACACGTGTTAGTCTGTGTGATTCAACAGATAAAAACCCAGTGTGAGCACTAGTAGGATCAAACTTAACCAACAACACCCTCTCATTGGAGTGCCAAATCCAACATGCAAAAGTGAAAACAAGAAAAAAAGATCGAAAAAAAAAACTCACTAATTTTACATGCCCTCTGAATATCTGTACAAATTTTTGCTAACCTGGGTTTAAGACTCCAGTCGGCTCTAAAGCAGCTTTTTCAAATCCGCAAGGGTGTCCCGAAATTCTGGAATATCTTGATTTCACCTTTGAGGCCTGCAGTTACTATAACCATACCCAACGCGGACCTGTTCTGATACAACCCATTTGAAAAGTCCACACTAACTCGGGGACTTGCGTTCTTGGCAGTAGCCGAGAGGAGTTTCTCCTCAGGCCATGTCATGGAGATTTTATCGAAAAAGTAGCCATTTGAGGCACAAGATAAGTGTCCATTGAGAGGGCTATTAGTGCGTAGGGACTCCAATGACCGGCTTTCACTGCAGTTGGTCTCCCCAGCTGGTGTAGTGGGATGGTATTCATTATACTGGGTATAAGTACCATTTTGTCCTCCAGCAGGACATTCCTGGAGGGCCCACTTGTCTGACGAGCCAGGCCAAGGGATTGCCACAGATACATCTTGACAGTGAAAAAACTCGTAAGATTGTGTCACCGTCACACCTTTGGTTCTGTTTGGTCGGGACTCGGCTTCATGTCTCCACACGTAAACATATGAGTCCTCACTCGCGGAGACTGCGTATTTTCCGTTGGAAGTGAGGGAGGCTGATATTTGGCTGTTCGCGTTACGAAACCCTGTAAAGGTTTTCAACATTAGTTTCACATTATAATAAAGTTGAATCATACAAGGTAACTAGGGTTAGCTTAAAGCCAATATTCAAACTGAACTCCATGTACTGAAGGCACCATATCAGTCTAGGTCACTCGCTCTCAACAAATGGATCAAACAAGTTAGACTTCCCACTATTTATATTGCATATTCTCACCTTTGAACTTGTGAACAAGATCGACACCATCTATGACTCGAATTCGGGAATCTGCTGAAGTCACAAGCACTTCTGATGTACTTCCAGGTGCAAACTGAGCAACAAAAAACAATCTACAATGATAAGAGCAAGTAGAACAAGACTTTTATTCAGAAGAATAACTGTGTGAAAGACAAGATAATAGATAAAACTGAAGTACAATGGTGAAACGGTGACACATTACTCCCATGGTTGCGTCGGATATATATATTGGATGAACAGACAATTGGCGGGTGAAATGAATTACCTGAAGACCAGTTATTTTCTTCTGATGAGATTTCTTTCTCCTATTCTGCAGATTGATCTGGCTTTTCCGGAGCAATTTATTTTCTGGAATTACAGAAGGAGGTATAAAATACTAACTAGAAACACTTAAAAAAAATTTATTGTCGACAAAACTATCCTACACACCTGATATGCTGTACAAACGACAACTACCCTTGTACGAACCAACTATTGCCCCCTGGCAAAAGTTTATCAAACCACATACTTGAGAACAAGCCAAGGCATATAAATAAAGTTAAAAACAAATTTTCAATTAATATGCGCCGACTTGACTATATTAAAAGTAATCATATGACCCCAGAAACATGTAATTGGTTGCTGACCTGTCCATCTGGTGTGTAGCAAGCTGCAGTGACCATTTCATGCAAATCATTCCAATCAACGACTTGGCGATCAGGAATGCTCCATATCCGCACCTTGCCATCTAGGGATCCACTGATGAAATATCTATCATCAACCGGATTAAACTGGATGCACGTTACTGCACCATTGGCAAATCCAGAAACATATTAGTAGATTAATCGTATATGAAACACACAAATAATACTATTTAGAACAATAAAGGACCAAAGGACATTTAATTAGGTAATTAACTAAAGCATCACCAAGTGTAAGAAAGTACGTCTTCACGACGTGGCACTTCATTTTAATTGCCAGGAAATGAATCATACTAATAAATTAACAGAAAAGATTAGCAATTACCATAATCACTGTGTGAAAAGATCTTTAAACAAGACTTGCTAGACAGATCCCAGAGGCGCACAGTTTTGTCCATTGAAGATGAAAGCAGTTGCTGAAGATTACAGAGAAATGTGAGTGATTGTCCCAAGTAATTGACTGGAATATATAATATAAATAACAAACTCATCAAAATGAACACACATGATTAGAGAAACTGCTTTTATTGACATAAAAACAGGAAGAGCATAGAGTAATTTAATAGGAGCAAAACACCAGTTGTCTAACTATTATAAAAAATCAACACATAATGCAACTTAAGTGTATACAGTTCAAATTAAAAGAGAATATCTGACTAACCTGAGACTTGGACCATGAGATATCCAGCACATCATCTAAATGCCCGTGAAACGAACACAGAGGCTTTTCTGAAAGGCCAAATATGGTCTCAGGCACCAAAATCTGTTCAAAGCTCAAGGATTTCCTGCCTATGGACAATCTCCTCCCCCTCTTCTTTTTCTCCGAGTGAGCATCCAAATTCGGTGACATTGATGATGGCTCGGACGACCCATTTCCTAGAAACAAAAGATTGAAATTCCCATCTTCCAATTTATGGAAAAAGAAATCCTCTTTCCTTTCTGTCTCCACAACCTGCCACACTTGAATCACACGGTCCTCACCGGCACTAGCCAGATATTTCCCGTCCAAACTAAACTGAATCGCCCAAATCGACCCGTTGTGTGCCTGTATTTCCTGGCTCTTGTAAAGTGCCGTAAGCTCTTTAACCGGCTTACCATAATTCTTGACCCTAACTCTCTCAGGCCCATGAAAGGAAACATCCTGGCTATCATCAGTGGCAGAGCTCGACCTCCTCCCACCCTTCTCAGACGAGGTGTCTCTCTCATCACTACTCCTTCTCTCCTTGTGACCAGTGACTGAATTTGCCACATTTTTCATACTCCTCAGCCAAGTACTCCTCTTCTTCGACTTAGACACACCACCATCCGCATTTGAATTCAAGCCATCCTTGTCCCTGGCCTCGAAATTCTGTCTCCTCATCAACTCTTGCACGATTGGTGAAGTCCCAACAAACATCTCAGATGAGAGCTCCTCTGTCATCAAGTGACGCCCGGTTCCCACTTCCTTTATCTTTTTCCAAGTCCCGTCCTCCCTTGTCTCATTCACCACAAACTCTTTCCCATTGTCGAGATTCTTTATCTTACACACTCCATTAACATCATCTAGCCCATCACACTCCAGGCTCCAACAAAGCTCTTCACCACTTGTACGAGGTGGGTGTGCATCACTAAAGCTACGGTTATGGTTGGAACCATTGATATTAGACTTCACTTTGGGGGGTTTATAGGGAGAGTCTGTACGGGATATAAAGCTGCAACTTGATCTCTCTGCCCGACAATGTCTTTGTATGTTCTTCCCCTTATCATCACTATTTACATCACCAGCAACTCCACCTGAAGCCGAAACATTCGGCTGAGCTTGAAAACTCCTGCGAGACTCACAGCCCCCATCTGATTTGGACCGGACCACCCCAGAAGCTCTATCATTGCAATTATTGTTATCATCACAACCATTGACGCATTTACTAGTGCAATCGAGGGTTTTCAAGTAACTGTAATCTGTGCTGCAAAATGTATCCTCCAGGGGGCTCAAGTAATGCTGAGATGAGAGGGAGAAGGAAAGTGAGGGGCGATGGCGGAGGAGGGAGGGGTCACCAGTGAGGCCCATCCCGCGGAGGAGGCGGAGCCGCCGCTCCTGGACCGACGACGGATGGGAAACCCAAACGTCGTAGTTCCGGGAGACGCCGAGGGGGAATTTGGGCACTGTCCGGGTGAAATCGGAAGTGCATTCATCGTCGGAGTTTGAGGGGGAGCAAGAGCAGGAAGTGTTGGAAGAAGAGAGGAGACGGTCGAGAGAGTCGTGAAAGCGCTCATTGTCTTCCTCTTCCCCGGCTCTGCTCATTGTCTGCCACCTGCCATGGAAATCCGGTTCACAAAGACCGATCCATAGCAAGCTGGGGGCCCGGCTCACTATCAAGCACGAATCTTCTACTGTCGGCTGAAGTGTACACGTCGGCAATGCAAGGCAACTGTGGGAGATTGTGTGGGGAGAGATCACAAAACTCAGATCCGGCGGGTGATGAATTTGAGAGAGAGAGAGAGAGAGAAGCCTTTGTGCAGTCGTGTGTTGGCAGGTTGAAGGTGCTTTAATTTTGTTTGGTTTGAGCTATTATTATGAGTTCGGAATACATATATTATGGATGATAGTAAGGTAGTGTTGCCGAATGATTCCGTCGGAGTTTCTAACCGTTAGATCAACTATCTCTGAAAGTTACAAAACTCGACGGAATGGTTCCGTAACGGACATTAGCATTTTCCCATACATTAAATATATTTATATGTATTTAAAATTTATAAATAATGCAACAGAAACATAAAATATAGTATAAACAATATTTGATTCGAGCAATGTGTGTGTTGTGTTGTGTGGGTGCATCATATCATTGGATTTATTAGTTGATGTTTTACGTTGTTTTCAAATGCGAGATTTACTAAAAAGATATCAAAATGCTGTCTATATAAAAGAGCTCCTTGTTGGGCATGTGGTCCATCTCCTTCATCCATCACTGCCTAGATCTCAAAGATCTATTTTACTTTTTTTTTTTCATATATTTTTTTTTTTTAATTAGGGATTGAAAATCCAGAACGAAATGAATTTATTGTGTGCAGTTGGATCAAATGCAGCGTATTAATTTACGGTACTCGTGCCAACAATTAGTGTAATGTTTTGCAATTCACTAATCATTCATTTTGACATAGTAATGTTTTGCATTTTACTAATACTAGTACGTATCCCGTGCGATGCACGAGACAAACATATCAAATGAGTTATTTTCACGGCCTTGTCCGTTTAAGTCTAAAAAGTAATAATGTTATTATCTATTTTATACCTCTTTTAATCAACGTTAAGTCTAAAAAATAATTAAGCCGCCATCTGGCAAATATGTATGGAGTTATGTGTTCGTGTCTCATAAGTCACAAACATTATGAATAACATTACAAATTATTCATTCAAACTTTTATTCATTGCAAATATATTAAAATAGTTTATGTAACGGCCATTAAATACCACGTTCAATATATTTATAAATCAAAAGTACATAAAATTTATGGTGTGTTCAAATTTAAATAATTTTTTATGGGCTCAATTTTTAATCATCCAGACATTTGGTCAAACACATAGGTTTGTTCAAATTTAAATCATTGGCATTTTGGTCGGTTGAAATTTAAATCATCTACCATGGTACTGTGATGAATATTATATATATATATACAATTTTTTTTAACAAATAATATGTGCTTTATAAAATAATAATAATAATTTCACAAGATTTTAAACTTAAAATTTGGTTTTTAATCACAATAGAAAAATCATGTTAAGTTGTATTGAAAATGTGTTATGAGATAAAACAATTAACTAAAATAATTAGATAAAATAATTGATGGAAATAGAATGCATTAATTATCTTTGACTTTTCTTACTACTAATTCTAGTAAATAGAATGCCTTTTTATATAAGTATAGATTTTCGAGCTTAGAGTTGATAACTTGTGTCTTATGGCTGAGAATATAGCTGATGACATTTGATATGTTTGGTAAATTAATAAGCTAGCTTATATCTTATTTAGTTAGCTTATAAACTTTCTGTACACAAATACGCTTCTTTTGGTAGGACGAACCTTTTTAAAAAGTTCGACCTTATCTCATAAACTTCTTTGGGGTATCTTTTCAAATAAACTCGTTGAAATTTTTATTTCAACAAGCTTATCTTCTAATTTTACCAAGCACTTTTATCATAGGCTATGTTCGGTAAAACTAGATTATAAATTGGCTTATAGCTTATAAGTAATTTTTGAGCTTATTGCTGAAAAACTAGCTTATATGATAAAAGTATTAGGTAAATTTAGTTGATAAGCTATTGAAATGAAATCAACGAGCTTATTTAAAAAGCTCCCAAAGAAGCTTATTAGATAAACTATAGTTTTGTTTTTTTTTTTTTTTTTTTGTCCTAGCAAACGAAACTTATTTGAATACAGGAAGCTTATAAGCTAATCAAATAAACTATACGCTATACCAAACGTAGCCATATAAGCTAGCTTTTCAGCAATAAGTCATAAGCTATAAACCATAAGCTATAAGTTATAAGCTCGAAATCACTTAAAAACTACTCCCTCTTATTCATAATAATTGTCGTTTTGAGAAGTTGCACAGTAATTAAGAATATTTTTTTGCTCGTAATAACCCTCTTTAATGAAGATAGAGATGAATATTTTGAAAAAAATAAAGAGTGGACATGAAAAGATGTAATATAATCATTAGCTAAATGAGGGTAATAATGAAAAAATATGTTCAAATATCCAAAACGACATTTTTTTTGTTAATAGTTGATAAAGCTAAAATGACATTTAAAAAGAATAGGAGGTAGTATAAGCTAGCTTATGAAGTAGTTTACCAAACACAGTCATAGTTCTTAGGATGGTCTTATTTCTCTAAAAGAATATATCCATATTACCTTTACCTATATTATTTACTTACAGCGTGATATTTCAATATTATATATGTGTGTGTGTCTGTATGTGTGTGGATGTGGTCACTATTGGATCTCTTTATAACAAGAGTCTAACGAAGACCATATGAACTGCATAGCTTGAGAGAATTACGGCAACTCTAGTATTTGTATATTGAATGCCTATTTCATGATATTTTGATGTATTTTTTTCATGTAGTACCAGATGTTCATACCATACCTCGGGACTTTGCTATTTATAAAATCGGGAGGCCTTTTAAAATATAATATTTCTGGGACATGTGGTGGACTCTTATGGTCAACAACAAGCAAGGTGACGCGTGTCCTCCGCAACTTGCTCAAGTGACTTATCTCTTTGGCAGTGTGAACTAGTTTTGAGCATCAACCCTTTTCAAACCTAATTTTATCTCAAATCAGAATGAAGGAAGCCTCGTCCGCTTAAGTTATATGTGATGAAGTAACTCTTCTATGCTATGGTGATGTCGGTCTGGTGGACTTATGGCCTAGGGTGAGATTGGCGTAAAGGAGATCGACTTAGAGGGTGACGGTTTTATCTGAGCGCGTTGGCCTTTTACTTCGTATTTTCGGTATACTTTTGGTTTCAGTCTTGTCGTCCATGTCACTGCAATAAGTGGGCTTAATCCAGGTCGATAGTTTTTGGTACAACAGAAGGCTCCTAGGTTCCTAGGATTAGACATGATATTTCGATTTGTCGTAGAAAGGTATTAGAACTTTTTTGTCGATATGGTGATGAGGATTGGTTGAGAAGTTTATCTCCAATGTTAGGAATACATTCTCGGACGAGTAACCTATGTTAGTATATTAAGGACCCTTTACTCAAGGTCATAAAGGTTGCATCTTATTTACTCCATTAGGGGTAACCATGTCGATATCCTTTAATGGCGGTAGTGGCTCTACGGAAAGACATCTCTCTCCATTAGCATTCTACCATGAGTTGATTTTGGATTGTTAGTGTGTGAAGGGTCGCTCCTATCCCAAATGTCTCTTTAGATAATTAAATAAGGGGGATGCAGATACCTAGGAGGATATCTGAGGGTGTGCATATACAATGAAAGGCAAATCTTTCCTTTTCTCATGACAAAAATTCCTTTGACAGACAAGCCTTATTTTCCCTTTTTGCCTTTCACGTTTTGCTTCTTGCAATTTTTTATTTTATAAGAAATTTGTTCGAGTCACTTCCTACATTTTCAAACGAAGGGGCGAAAGCAGTTACTCACTAATTTGAAGAGAAAAGTTGTAACGCCCAGAATATTTTTACTATTTATGGAGCTCGACTTTATTTCCATAAATAGCAAGTTCCCTTATTTGAGGAATTTATCGAGTATTATTTAAATTAATTCAAGTATTTAATTTTAAGTATAAGCCCTAGTGAATTCATTTGATTTTTAATATTAAAATCAGATTTATTTAGCCCAAGTATCGATTTTATTTTTAAAAGTAAAACTGATCCTTGGAGTAATCAGAATTTTATTTAAGTCGGGTGAAGCCCAAATCTTTAACTTACTCGACCCATCTTATAATCGAGCTCAACCATTTTATTAATGTTGATCAAGTCAACTTCGTTTTTAACAGTCCCGTTAAATTTATCTAGTCCGAATATTTAATTTTATTAAGCCTAATATTTATATTTACCCGAACATTTAATTCCTAAGTCAACGTTCGGTCAAATAGCCAAGTCCAAGTTCGATTAAAAGCCCGATTACCTAGTTTGATTTTAAAAGCCCACTTTTGGGCCCAACAACAACTCAAGCTGTAGTTCCCCTCGTGTGTATAAATAGCACACAATCCTCTTCTCCTCTTTCAACACCACAAACACAAAACCCTAGCCCAATATCCTACCTTCAAGATTCATCATCTTCAAGCCTTTTCAAGAAAATCCGGCCACCTACTCGTTTTTTTCGGTGAACTACGGTCATCGGTGGCAAGAACCACCAGCCGCAGCTCCGTCCAACCTCGGTCCGCGCCTCCCGAGCCACAGCAAGTCCAAGTTCGCACGCCCCTTCACGCGACCAGACCCGCACCCGAGCTCCCGCCATTCGTATGCGTTGTAGCAGGCCCGGGTCGGTCCGTACGTCGTGTCTCCACCTCGTCCCAGCTTGCTCGCATCCGTACGGGTCCCGTCACAGCTGCACCACGCGTTCTCGTTGACCGCAGCGAACCTGCACGCACGTCCAGCTTGATGAGCACCAGTCGTCCGTACGCCAGCGAGCAGAACCACGCGACCCTAGCATGAACTGACCCCATGCCGTACGACCGCGACCCTACGCTCGTCTAGTCCGCGCCGAGCACGGCCGACATGCAACCATGAGCTACCCAACACTAGAACCGAGGTCTCACCTCAGACCCGAACCTAC